CTACTTTAAAAACTATGTTTGTTGAAAGTACTCAGGAAAGAATTTCCTGAGATAGCATGGCCCATCATAAAAAGAAACATAGGGCCCAGGTGCTAACCATAAAAGGATGACATAAATCTTCATCTGTACTACAGATTGGGGGCCCCAGAATCTAATAGCTATTTGTTGCTTACTGGGTTTTTCATGCATGAGCAAGGAATAAACGAGCTTTCCAACTCTCTCCTGGGTGTGTTCTTGGTCTCCGTGCTATTTGAAGAATTTTTCATAACGATATCAGGCCCAGTTCACGTTGAATTTCTTATATTCCAAGTGACATGCTGTTATCCATATACAGAATTACAGAATGTGTGTAAGATAGGGGCCAGGCCATAGAAAGGCAGCAAGATTCATTCTTTCTTTTAAATTTTATTTATTATTTTTATTTTATGTGTATGAGTGTTTTGTCTGCATGCATATATCTGAGGAGGTCAGAAGAGGGTGTCAGATCCCCTGGAACTGGAGTTATGCAAGTTGTTAGCAGCCATGTGAGCACTGGGAACCAAACCTGGGTGCTCTGAAAGAAGAGCAAGTGCTCTTAACCACTGAGCCATCTCTCTAGCCCCAAGATTTGTTATTTCTTTAGCAGGTGGTATGGGCAGGTCTTAGTAAGGATTGGAAAGTGGAACTCCGGGTTTCTGACTGAGTAGGTTAGTGCATCGCTTTCCTCTAATCACCCATCCACTCCGTGACAAAAAAAACCCAAAAAAAACAAAAAACAAAAAACTCCCAAGGTAGTGTTTCAGTGGTGCCCAGCTTCCTGTCCCTCCCTCCATCTACATGCAACGTCTCCTGCACTCACAGGATGCTCAAGGCAGTGCCAGGCACCTGCAGCTGTCCCAGGACTGGAGCATTGCATGAGAAAAGGAAGATCATCCGCCACCAGGAGTTGTGTCAAACCAACTCACAGAGTGGGTCTTCTAGCCTGGGCTGTAGGTGATGCCACCCTTCACCTGGGTTTTGGGCAGAGAACAGAGCTGCGCCTCTCTGGTCTCAAGATTTCTTTCACATTCATGCTTTGGGTAGTTCGCATTATCTTCTGAATCCCGAGGTTTCACCAGCAGTGGAGCCAGGATCCCAGGCCCAGGGAATACCCACAATGGGGAAACCCCATCGACTGGAGGGCGTGCACATGTGTAGACTGTCATAGGCACCGCCGCAGAGTGACCCCATTCCAGGCCCAGACTGCACTTTTCGTACTGGAGAGCTGGGACCAGTGTGGGTGGAGACATTCTCCCAAGTCTGGGCATCTTTGGGGTGGAATTACTTTGTCCCATTCCAGCCACCGGTTCACCTGGTCTCCGTGAGAGGACCAGCAGCAGGGAGTCTCCCTTCCCAACAAACTCATTTCCCCACCCTTTTGGGCATACTCAACCCATGTCTGTGGCCGGCAAGGGGTGCCTAAGCCCTGTCCCTCTTCTTGCTTTGAGAGGTCTCTACAGGCCTACAGGCCAGTGCCAGAAGCTGGGTGCATTGAGTGCCCAGGAGGGACTGGCAAACAGCTAGCTACCACAGGGAAGATCCAGGCAGTGAATGAAGTCTACATCTGACAGACAAGAGGGTGTGGTCTACTTTCCTGTGCCCAACCCAGGATGTGAGGCCCTGAGTTCTTCCTTCCCTTACAAAGCCTTTCTGTGCAAGGGATGGCAACATGCATGTGGTTAGAGGCCAGCCTTGGGTGTTTGCGACAAGGTTTCTTTGTTGTTCACTCCTGTATATGTGAGGCTAATCTGACCAAGAGCTTCTGGCCAGCAGCTCTCCTGGTTTCTTCCCCACAGCTGGCTATGGTTTTCCTTCAGCCTGCTAGCACCCTTGACCAGGCCCCAGACATCTGCAGCCCCTTGGTCATGTCCTCATGCAAACCAGATTCCTCTCATCCAAGGAGAGTCAGAGGAGCTGGCCGTGACCACTCAAGTCACACTCAAGTCACCCTTCCTGCAGCCTCCTGGGCCATCCAGCACCCTGTCAGAAGGCCATTGCCGTTTTCTCTGGGAGATCCTCCTGGCTGTCCCTACCAGGCGCCCTCCTGCATGGTGCTCTTGAAGCCAGGCCTTAACCAGGGCTTCATCCCACATCACATCTTATTGTTTTAAGAAAGGAATTCTTTCACTGGGCACGGTGGCAGATACCTGTAATCCTACCACTTGGGAAGCTGAGGCAGGAGGAATCCTGAGAACTACAGAGGGAGATCCTGTCTCAAAAAAAAAAGATTAAAAACTAAACAGACTGGGATTTCTTACAGTAGTGACCCCAATTCTAGCACAAAGAACACTCTGGGGTAATGTATGAATGGGCAGGGAACTTCGAGGGTTTTTAAAAAATATTTTATTTATTATTTTTATTTTATGTGTATGAGTGTAATGCCTGCATGTATGTGAGTGCACCTGTGTCATGCAATGCCGCAGAAGTCAGAAGAGGGCTTCGGACTGCCCTGGAACTGGAGTTAAGGAAGGTTCATAGCCACCATGTGGGTCCTGGGAATCGAACCCGGGTCCTCTGCAAGAGCAGTCAGTGCTCTTAACCGCTGAGCCATCTCTCCAGCCCTGGAACTTTGAGGATTTTTAATTTTACTTTTAAAATTTACTTTGGCTGGGTATGGTGACATGTTTGTAATCCCAGTGCTTGGGAGGCAGGGGCAAGAGGGTCTTACGTTCAAGGACAGCCTGGGCTTATACAGGGAGTTCCAGGCTAGACTGGGCTATATAGCAAGATCCTACCTCAACCAACCAACCAACCAACCAACCAACCAACCAACCAACCAAATAGTAACAATAAAAACGCACCACCAACAACCCCTTTCTTTCCACAGGGAATAATAGTAGCTAGGTGTGGTGGTGTACATCTGTAATCACTGTGATCCAGAGGCTGAGGCAGAAGGATCAACAGTTCAAGACCAGGGGCTGGAAAGGTAGCTTAGAGGTTAAGAGCACCGGTTGCTCTTGTAGAGGACCTGGGTTCGGTTCCCAGAACTCACATGGTGGCTAACAACTGTGCATAACTCCAGTTCCAGGGGATCCAACACTCTTTTCTAACCTCCATGGACATTGCATGCACCAGTGCACTTAAAAA